ATCACTTATATAGCGCCAACATATTCTGCAGCGCTGTACAATAGGTAAAACAAGAGAAAGGATTAATCCTAACAACACTTTGACATACAGGAACACAACATCACTAGCAACATCCCCACACACGCAACCCCACAAGTAGACTCCAAACACATGTGGTTAGTTGTAAGGTTGTACATGTGGGGGATGCTGCTTGTGATGTCCTAAGAAAAATCAGTGGAAGTGTGTAATTAAATTTGCTTTTTATTTCTTTATTTTAATTGCTGGGGAGGCACGCCAGCAAGGCTTGCTCCATCTAAAAACAGTGTTTATTAAAACACTGGTTTTGGTTGGATTAACCCCTTTAAAGTAAATCTGGCCATTTTGGGGGGCACTCAGTGATGTGGGAGTCAGGGATGTGTGGCTCTCACACAGCCATTCTGTGTGCTGGGCAGCCTACACATAATATATGTGTAAAAGCAGCAGAAAGAAGGGGGAGAAGAATAGCAGGGGACCAGAAAACCTTGTACCTTGTACAAGGACCAGGAGGGTGGGCCCTTGACCACCCACTGCCCTAGGGCCCTGTGAGGTGTCAGTCCGCCCCTGACTGATGGAGTCTTGGGTCCAGTGTGGGTGGAGGATGGCGAGACCCCAACCAAGCTGCGGCAGTTCGTGGGATTTGCGGTGGTTATGGTGTTCTACTGCAGTGCTTACGGTGCTCGCAAGACTAGGAAGCAGCGATTCACGGAGGTACCCGGTCGGGGTGCCAGGCGGTCCATCAAAGTTACATTCAGCAAGCTGCCACATCTAATGTTATGTATGGTGGTGCCGCCAGTTCGGGTGGCCGCCTAGCAGGTCCAGCTGCACACTCACTAATCTGTGACTTGTGTCCAAGTCAAGTCCCAGTGCAGCTATCAGAAAGCACTGGAGGACTGAGGAAGAGAGCATACCTGACTCTATCATGCTCCCTCGCGGTTCCCACAATTCCCAGCACAGCCACATCATAGAGTATTGATTACTCTATGATGTGCTTGAGCAGGGAATTGTGGGAAAAGAGAGACATTTCTGTCAGTGCTGTTCTTCCAGAGCTCCAGACCATATTGTCAGACAAGATCAGCGTCAGGGGGTGATGAGAGGGAGAAAGAGACGCAGGGGAAAGGGAGAGAAAGAGAGAGAGAGAGAGACATGGGCAGGATGGGGAGGGAGAGAAAGAGGGGCTTGGGAGGACAAAGAGACACACAGAGGGTTGGGGGGGGGGGGAAATAAATATCCCTACACCACCAAACTTTAGTGTTGGCACAATGCAGTCAGGCAGGTAATGTTTTCCTGTCATCCACCAAACCCAGACTTGCCCATTAGATTGCCAAACAGAGAAGCATGAATCATCACTCCTCAGAGCAATTTTCGACTACTTTAGGGTCCAGTGGTGGCATGCTTTACACCATTCGATCTAGCGGTGGGCATTGTACTTCATGATGTGAAACTTGCTCAACCATGGAAACATATTCAAGTCTTGAGTCATTGCTGTCTAAATAAATTCGTAAGTCATCAAATTTGTGACTTGTGTCCAAGTCAAGTCCCAGTCATGTGACTCAAGTCCACATCCCTGCACATATGTGTTTTTCATAGATATTTCAAAGGAGATTTAAACACAGATCAAATCTCCACACTATAGTCACATCCACTTACCTTAGGAAATGAGAAACAAGGCCTATAAACCTTGCCGGGTTTTAATGGTAAGTAATGATCTATCTATGTGCATGGATATAAAGTGACGGTATGTAATTTCAGCTTTATTATGTAGAAGTTGACCCAGTGCTTCATTGTCCCATTAATTCTGAAAGTCAGTTGTCAATTCACAACTCACGGTTTCCATTTAACATAAATGACAAGTGTACAGTTTTGTATTTTTGCCCATGTTAACTTCAACAGCTTGGAACGAAACAAGCTTTGTCATGTTTGCACGGAGCATAGTTTACATTCCTGAATGTAAAGATAGGAAGGGAAGACTTTCCCGCTAAGCAACGTCACTGTCCTTCCTTAAAGGTATAGTTATGCCTGATGCATAAACATAGATAATATATAAAATTAGTAACAACTCACTGTATTGCATCAGTATCGTAAAAAAGTAATATCCTCTCTATATCTCTAGGGACAGAAGTTTATATTGATAATGATAAAGTGATTATGCATGGTGTATTTTTTAAAGTAGACTTTGTTATGTAGAAGTGTAATGTATTTGTATGTCACTTATAAAGTGATATTTAAAGTAAGTGCTAATGATATCACTTTTTATGCTTGTTTATAACGTTTTACAGGCAGCGTTATCACAACAAAAAATAATTGACTTTTTCTTAAACTTACAACGCAACACTTCAAACAGACTCCCATCTGTATTTGCTTAGCAAATAAACAAATAAATATAATATGCAGTATATTGCAATACTGCGTCTTTTAAATCCCAAATCTATAGTTTAGAGAACACAGCAGAATATGTACTGCAACTACCATTGGGACTTCTTAAGAGTTAAATGACAGCTCATCTATAATGTCTCAAACATAGACAATTATGTAGTAATGTGTTCACACTCATATTTCGATGGGGAGCAGATTATTATCCTTTCCTTGTTTGTTTCCAGATTTTGGATTATGGAATTATGTAGCTGTCAGGATTAGCTGATGCCCAACACGCAGAACTTAAGTATATATTAAGAAAATTCCTAAGACGTATTACCGGGCCTTAGTATGGCCGGATTTAACGTATAAAGGAAAAAAACGCAAGACAGTATAAAGACAAGATGTAGAAACAACAGAAACGATGAACAAGCCACAAGTCAAGGAATGGAGATATCAGAATAGTCAGGAGTCAAGCCAAAGGTCAAGGAATACAGAGATCGAATAGTCAAAAGGGAAGCCAAGGTCAAATACAAAAGAATCAATATACGGAACCCGCTCTCGGATAACCAATATCGAAACCATGACAGGGCACAGAGAAATGGACAAAACAGGCTTATATAGTCTATAGTCTATATAGTCCCTGATTGGCTGCAGGGAAGCATGTGATCATGGGCATGTGTGTAATACACCTATATGAGTAATAATGATCTGTCCCTTTAAGGATTAAACAGAAAAACCCTTAAATACTTCAAAGCTGCAGCAGCCAGCGTCTCTAATGTTTACAGACCCAGCCGCTGTGAGAGGAGGAGCCACCACTATGGGTGAGTGATGGACGGCATTCCCATAACCACGTGGGAATGCCGCCGGACCAGACAAGTAGGAGACCGACAGCATTCCCCTTAGTGTGTGGGAATGCCGCCGCACCAATGCGCGCCTGCTGGGACCCATGCCGCGTGACAGTAACCCAATGAGATTCATATAGTTGTATGCTGAAAAGAACTAATAAGGTTATCAGCAATGCTTAAATATGAATTGGGATGTTAAAGGTGCACTCCAGACTCCTAAAGCACTTCAGCTTGCTTTGTATGAAGAGTGTGTTCTCTTCAATAGAAATTTACACTGTTATAAATTCACCATGTTACCCCCCCTGGCTGTCTCTCAGACAACTGGTATTATTACAGTTGCATTCACTTCAGCCCCTATACATCCACCACAGCCCCCATCCCTCCCTACACCCACTTCAACCTCTAGCTCTCTCTGCACCCAGACAAATGATTAATTCTAACACATTGACATACACGAACACAACATCACAATATCTGTGTGAGAGCCTCACAAAGAAGGAGAAGAGTAGTAGTAGGCAACAAAACTTGCACTAGGAGGGGTGCCCCTCATCTCCCATTGCCCTATGGCCATCTGAGCTGTCCGTCCGACTCTGTTTATTTATGTGCACACCTGTAGTGTCATTGATTTCTGAAGAGAAAAAAATCATACAACAATAAAACAAAAAAAGTAAACTAAAAGAAGTAAACTAAACTGACACTATGCATAATTCCGGTGACATTTACTATCTAAAAAATTATGCAAGCACAGCATCATCCCAGCAACACATTTTGATCACATTTTGGCATCACTCTAATGCCTATATATTTCTAGTCCACCTCGGGATCTGTGTCCAAGAGTGTGTGATATTGTGTATTCTAATCTATCTAGACGACATCCTCGTTTATTCCCCAGACATTAATGCACACTACGTTCATGTATCCCAAGTACTTACAATGCTATTACGCAATGGTTTATATTGTTCTTTGATCTTTCTTATTCCTCCTATCCCGACCTTGGCTTGTCTCACCGTCTTGTTTTTATTCTGTAATACCTTGACCTACACTTGCATTTGACTATTCTAGCTTTTGCCTCATATGTTAGGCTCAACTACCTCTAAGGACCGGTATTATGCTATCTCTTGTGTTTATCCTAGCTATCCTAGATTTGCGTGTTAGGATTTGCTACATTTCCTGACAGTTGAGTGCAGTGGGCACATGTTCAGAAATTACAAAATTTACTCAGCTTATTAAATATATACCCATCAAATATAGGAACTCAGAGTAGTTAAAGTTATAGTTACTTCTAGGTAGCATACTGGATTGGTACACCTATAATTTGAGTTTCTCCTAGTATCAGGGAGAATGATCAGAATCCCAATGTTACAAACACACAGTGGACATCATATTTTTTTATTCTGCATTGACTTAATTTTCATCTCGTGATATTCTGTCATGTTAGTAGAAATTCAAGCCTGGATACAGGTTACCAGTTATTTTTGTCCTAAATTTGTAATATGCCAGTTTCTATAATCGTCTGATATTGGAATTTCAAACCAAACTTTGAGTGTCACTGCATAGAAGCATACAAAATATATAGTAAACACTCACCAATAGTTTGGGTAACCCAGTGTTACATGCACTAAAAGACCGGGTGCTAAAGATGAGAATAATCAACACCATAAAAAAAACTATAAAAAAACCCTCAGCCACTAATTCATGCCAAAAATTTTTTTTATAAAATACGTAACATACCCAAAATAGTTTACATAGAGTATAAAGTGCATAACCAACAAATTTATACACCAAAAGTTAACATCAATAAAGTACAAACCGATTACCTAGAAAATGTAATGTCACATGTACTAACCTAGGGATGGAGATCAAAAACTCCCCAACAATTCTGCTGTTGCCTTCTTATTCAACTGTTGCCTTCTTCTGGGGAATATTCTTCCCCCAGAAGAAGGCAACAGCCAAAATATTGGGGAGTTTTTGGTACTGTTTACTAAATATACCCCCAATAAAAACATGCGTGCATTTAATTATGCATTTTTTTCATTGTGGATATATGTAAAAACAACTTGCAAAAGCTGCAGATCATTTGAACTAAACAACCAAGAAGTAACAGGACCCCCACCCCCTATTCAAAACAAGGATTGGAGGTCTAAAAACATTAATTTGTAAAAGTGACAATTTCTATTGAAATCTATGTTTGAGACATTATAAAATAGCTTACATCTCTTGACAGCCGCTAGAGGCGTTTGCGTGCTTCTCACTGTGAAAATCAGTGAGAAGACGCAAGCGTCCATAGGAAAGCATTATGAATGCTTTCCTATGAGACTGGCTGAATGCACGTGCGGCTCCTGCCGTGCATGCGCATTCAGCCGAGGAGGAGGAGAGGAGGCGGAGAGGAAGAGGAGAGCTCCCCACCCGGCGCTGGAGAAAGGTAAGATTTTAACCCCTTCCTCTCCCCAGAGCCCGGCGGGAGGGGGTCCCTGATGGTGGGGGCACCCTCAGGGCACTACCGTTTTCCCCGAAAATACACCTTACCCCGAAAATAAGCCCTAGCCGGATTATCGGGGTGGGCTGCAATATAAGCCCTACCCCGAAAATAAGACCTAGGCATTGCACCTTTGCGGCCCGGCGAGACTTCCTTCTTCTACCGTATGAGGAGGAGGGGAGGAGCGTTGCGGGCCGCGGCATCGCGCAACGTGATGACGACCTTTCGCAGCGCCGTCAGTCTGCCTTCACGGATCTTCAGCGGAAGGATCCATTTCCGGGCGGTGAGGCACCCAGTGGTCGGACTCGGCAAGGAATCTTTGAAATGTGAGTACCGGTAGATATTTTATGTCTGGGACTGAATTAATTAAAGGGGCGGGGGGTGAATTAATTAAAGGGGGGTGAATTAATTAAAGGGTGGGCTGGATTAATTAGAGGGGGGTGAATTAATTAAAGGGGTGGTGAATTAATTAAAGGGTGGGCTGGATTAATTGGATTAATTAAAGGGGGTGAATTAATTAAAGGGTGGACTGGATTAATTAGAGGGTGGTGAATTAATTAAAGGGTGGGCTGGATTAATTAGAGGGGGTGGAATTAATTAAAGGGGTGGTGATTAATTAAAGGGGTGGTGGATTAATTAAAGGGGGGTTCAATGTACATACCGGTACCGTAAATAAATAAGCCCTACCCTGAAAATAAGCCCTAGTGTGTTTTTTGTGACTAAAATTAATATAAGACCCGGTCTTATTTTCGGAGAAACACGGTATAGTGCCAGGAAAACGAGTGTGTTTTCCTAGCACTATAGTGGTCCTTTAACAGAGTGTTGCCATGGTAACCCGCGGCAATGCTTTGAAATTCCGGCGCTTATGAGAGGCAGATATGGTCTGTAGCCTGCAGAGGTACAGACCAAATAACCGGACCCCTTTACCACCATGGATTAGCTTGCGGCGTACCCCCTGTCACTGGACCACCAGGAATCTGCGTGCTCCCTCTCCCCTGCAAGGTAATAAGGGGGAGGGGGAGTAAATGTTATACATATATAAATGAATTAATGAAGCCACAACCCTACCCCCTATACACCAACTACACCCCCTCATATCCATCTCTACATCCACTTATATACACACACTACACCCCCTGCATCTACACACACACACTACAGCCACTTATATACACACAGTACACAAACTCTATACCCCTAAACATACACTACACATTGCATTCACACACTCTATACCCTCTATAAAGACACCCTACACCCTCTACACTCACACACTCTATACCCCTTGTACACATACCATACCACACAGGACATTTACTCCACCACAGAGCACTGGATGCTCTGGAGGGGCATCACACTAACATAAACACGCCTCCTTTCTGGCTCTGGCCCTCATAGTGGGCTGCTCTGCCTTTAATTGCCCGGGCAGTGTAACTTGATTATGTTTAGAATGTTGGTTCTAATTAATATTTTTCTTAATACTGGGAACATAGGAGGCTATCTCACATGAGTATTTGTTTCTTCACTAACACACTGAGACTATATTTTTCACTGATTTCACTTTTTTTCACAGTGTTTCATTGGCTTCCTATGTCCTATAATTTACCTCCATTTCGGAATGCAGAATCTATGTCCTTTCTCTCACACACTGGTTTCCTCTGTTTACAACAGTGGATGCTTAGTTACCACTTTGATTACCACAGTGATACAACGCGGTGACGTCACACGAGCTTTCCTTGCACTTCCGGGTTTTCAATCTCGCCTTGGATTCCTCCTCACGTACATTGGTAAGTCTTATTACCCTTATCTATATATTTACATTGTTTATATGTACTTATCTTGATCTTAAGAAAGACCTAAATAGGTCGAAATCGCGAGCGTTCTATGTTTTTGCACAATAAACCAATCACTTTTTTTCAAGCCTAGGAGTGTACTTTGTTGATTGTTATAGTGAACCACGGGTTTGCACCCTGGCAGAGTATATATTTGCTATGTAAATGGGGAGAGTGCCAAACTTGCTATTGGAATATATATATATATATATATATATATATATATATATTTGTAGTCAGGTCAATATTGCCGTGATGGTAAGGTAACATAACATATCATTCGTAACCAACAAACATAGTTAAAAAAACACCGGTCGGTTGGGGTGTGTAGGAACCGACAATGCAGTAGGCCTGTAATAAAGAGGGCAGAAGTGTACCATACTAAATTTATTCATATTACAAAAAATCAATTAAATCACGAAAAGCTTGCTGTAATTCTTTAACTGGGTTTGGTATGTAAAGAGTGTAAGCAGAAGATTTCCAGCATCCCATAGTTTTTATTATATGAGCTGGAATGTGGTTGGAGGAAGCAGATGATGCCTCCCCTACGCAGTAGGAATGTCCTGAGAAATGGTTTGCATTTAGGCTTAGTCTAGTTAACAGCAAACGGAAATAGAGCTTAAATTTAGCTGTAGTGAGAATGGAGCTATGTAGGTTTAATAGTGGTTGGTGTGGTTGTTTATGGAAAGTGTTGAAATAGGTGTCCAAAACCTTAACGGGGCTCCATTTATTTTAGGTAGGGAAAAGAGGTATATGACCGTGTGTCCCATCTGGCTAGTTTTAGAGTGATGAAGTGACAGAACGTAATGATCTAAGGATTTGTTGATATCGGCTATTTTAATATAGTCTGTGGCCATTACATTACTGGTGGTGAATTCCTTTAGACGTAAAAATCCATAAAAAGGTAGCTAGATGGCTGTTTTAATTACCATATTGGTTATGTGTTCAAAAGGAGCTGTATCTAACGAATCGAATAATGATTGCAATATTTTGTTGTGGATGGGTAGTCTTTGAGGTGGTAGATGTGTATCTATCTTTTGGATTCCCTTCAGTAAGGTCTTTATCTGGTATGATGAAAGGAATCCTATTTTTTTAGGATGTTGTGATAGCATGTGGTGTTTGATCATGTTAAAAGATTATTTTAAGTTAAGGTGGCAAAAAGAAGCGAACCCCAGTATAGTTTCCAAAGCAAACATGTCCTGAACTTGAAATTCCGCTATGAACTTAGTGAAAATGTGAAAGGCCCTATCATATGTTTTCCTAGAGTTAACCGAAAGTGCCAGGTGGGAATTATTGCGTGCATGAATAACTGTTATAAACAAATTGGCAAGTGGCCGCTACCCATATGAGTTTCCTTAAAAATCTCACAATTACCAAAGATGATGACCGGCCTTTATTAACAATGTGACAAGTGGCTAGGTTGTCAAAAAAAACATCTAACTGAGTGACCAGCCCAGGCAACAGCAGCGGCCACGATTGGGTATAATTCAAACATGGCCGATGTGGTGGAGAAGCTAGGTAGGGATGTATCTTCTCTAGCCCATGGACCCCAAAGCCATTGATTTCCACAGATGGCTGCAAAGCCAGAATTGGCCGCAGCAGCTGTCCAGAGTGGAGGTGAATTGTCCGAAAGAGGGGGGATGAACATGACTTGCCCATTCCCAGATGTGAGAAAAATGCGCCACATAAGTAAGTCAGCTGTTGCGTGAGTGTCTAAAGTGACGTGTGATTCGTCTGAGGTGAGTTTCAGGAACAAGGAAAGTAGGCGGAAATGAAAGATCTACCCTGTGGAATGATCCTCATGGCAAAATTGAGCGACCCCAGCAGAGATTGAAGTTCTTTCCGCTTGCAAAAACCTAGCTGTAAGTACAGCTCAATACTCGACAGGGTGCGCTCAATCTTATCCTGGGGAAGGCTTGCATGCATGTGAATCGAGCCTAGTTGAATCCCCAGGAAATGCATAACCGTGTCTGGACCTATGTTTTTTTTAAGGGAGACTGGTATACCTAGGGACTCAAAAAGAGCATACATGTGTTTAAGGATGCTAGGGGGTAGTGAGTTGGTTTCAATCATGAGAAAGTCATCTAAATAGTGAATTACAGTCGGACTTCTGCACACATTAAGTAGCAACCAACACAAAGTTTCAGCGAAGATATCAAATATTTTGGGGCTGCTCTTGGAGCTGAACGTGAGCCATGAGAAGAAATACTATAAACCCTGCCACTTAACGCCGTGCAGATGCCAAAGTGAGGGGTGAATGGGGAGTAACTTTAAAGCGTTGACAATGTCTGTTTTACTGAGCCATGCTCCAGTCCCAGCAGCCAAAATGGCCCAGATGGCATTGTCGATGGTGGCATATTGCAGAGAGAATTCGTCAGAGGGTATGAGGGAATTGAAACTAGGGATAGTGGAGGAATGTGGTGCAGATAAATCGATGATAAGTTTGGGTTCATGTAAGGTTTTACCCGTGACGTCACCAGTAGGGTTTGTTCTCAATGTAGTGAATGGTAGGGAAACAAATGGCCCAAGCAAAAAACCCTATTCCAATTCTTTGTTAATAAGATCACTCACTAACTCTGGATCTGTCGATGCTGTTTGTAGATTATTGCATTCCAGTGTACCAGATAGCAAGTGTATGATACCTGTGTGAAACCCTTCAGACAACCTATCGGTGAGGAATTTAA